CACTGGCCAGAGCCGGAGAAGTTCATCCCTGAAAGGTCTTCACTTCTCTCTAAGTCTGGACTGTAAAAGGCTGACGTTGGCATAATAATGTCAAATGAAGGAGTTTACAATCAAAAGATAACACCACCTATGATCTACTGTTTAGAGCCACGGTACAGTTTAGGCACCTGGTTCTCACTAGATTCATGAGATCTGTTTAAAGGGTGTTTGAAGCTGTATGCAGCCAGTATTTTATACTGAGGATGTGAGCTTTTTTTCCCCACTGCTTTTAATTCTCCCTAACATCCTACTTGTGGTTGGTCCCCAGGTTTACAGCAGAGGCCAAGGCCAGTCGACATCCGTTCGTATACCTGCCGTTTGGGGCCGGCCCCCGAACCTGTGTGGGAATGAGGCTCGCCCAGCTGGAAATCAGAATGGCTCTGGTGCGTCTGTTCGGCAGGTTCAGCATCGTGGCCTGCTCTGAGACCAAGGTGAGCTGGAGCAGCTGCTCAGGAAACTAGAGCAATATTCACTGGAAGTCAGACCTACCATAACTAGATGAGCTGAACAGCAATCCAGTGTGTGGTGGATAGTAACTCTAACACCAGTGGAGTTTATTGGACATCTGAGGTTGCTATATTTTAGAAAAATGTCCTTATGGATTGAAGGATTCAGTTTGCATCTCTCAGCTATCTCCACATTTGTCCTGAACATCATATCTAACTTTGGTCACTGTTTGCATCTTCCAGGTTCCTCTTGAGTTGCAGTCATTCAGGACTCTGGGACCTAAAAACGGCGTATTTGTAAAAATCACAAAAAGAGACGTAGGACAGGGTGAAGCCAGTTCTCCATCCGATGGTTAGAAACTCACCATTCATCTTCTTGTCCTTGTTTCTGGCTTTTTCTCTTGATTTCTTTGCACAGCTCAATTACCAAGGCCATCTAGTGAACTGGATGATAATGTTGCTGCACTAATGATTGATGACTGGTCCCAATGAGGGCTGCANGTTATCAGTTACAGCAGGCGTCTGTTTGTTTGGGTGTAGATGGTTCCACTCATCAACACAGCCTCTGATGCCCTGATGAACAACCTGAATGTCCACGCTGAGTCAGGAGAGGCCTTTGACATCCACAGGTATCCACAGACACAGTGAGTTGGGTGGTGTATGGGAATTACCTCTTTGTCGTTTCTCTCATATTTTTGTTGGTGTTCGTTCCTTTGCAGGTGTCTCGGCTGCTTCACCATGGACGTCATTGCCAGCGTGGCATTTGCAACTCAGGTGGACTCTCAGAACAAACCAGATGACCCGTTTGTCCACCACGCCAAAATGTTCTTCTCCCTGTCTTTCCTCAGACCCATCATATTGTTCTTCAGTCAGTCATTATTATTACTTGTATTTGAGAAGTTTATGTAAAAGAATTTCTAGAAGCTGACAATGAGGCAAATAAATCAGACGTTACTGAAACTTTAGGGGAGAGCATGTCGCAGTCGTAGCTTAGCTCCCCAATTAGTTCCTGATTGGACTGTAAACTTTAAAGAAACTAAGCATAGAAACATCTTCTGTTTTTACAAAACATAGAAGTGCCTACATGTTATTACTGTGCAGGCAGAGCCCTTTATTCAGCTTTGGTTTCTCCGACTAACTCGTGTGTTTATGTGTCCAGTTGCTTTTCCGTTCATCGCGGCTCCTCTGGCGAGATTCATCCCCAACAAAAAACAAGACCAGATGAATCAGTTCTTCATCAACATCATTCAGAAGATCATCAAGCAGAGAGAGGAGCAGCCTCCTGAGCAGGTGGACCTCACAGACTTCTGGCTGTCTTTAGGCTTTAGAAGAGCTCTCACTGTCATGTCTGTCCTTGACCATTTGGAACACGTGTTTCCTTCATCGATAGATTTTCTGACATTTTGTTCGGTAAATTAGTTTAACTTTCATCTTCTGTGTGTAGAGGCGTAGAGACTTCCTCCAGCTCATCTTAGATGCTCGAACCAGCGATGAGATGGTGTCGTTGGAGCACTTTGACACAGCAAACCATGCAGATGAGCTGGACCACAGGAACCAGCGGACACAGGCGTCGGCCTCGGATCAGGACAGCGGCCATCCACACCCACAGGAGTCACCCGTCAGGCGGCCGCAGAAGAAGAAGATGACTGAGGATGAGGTTGTGGGTCAGGCTTTTGTCTTCCTCCTGGCAGGTTATGAAACCAGCAGCAACACGTTGGCCTTCACCTGCTACCTTCTGGCCCTCCACCCTGAGTGTCAACGCAGAGTCCAGGAGGAGGTGGATGATTTCTTCACCAGACATGTGAGTGCGTC